ATATAGCCAGCCACTGCTGCATGAGTTCGATCCCCAGCCAGGGAGCTAACCCACATGGCACAGCAGACCACTCCTGTCTTGCCTGATGGTCCCCTTAGCAGTGTGTTTCAGTAGGTCTGCCTGTTCTGTTCTCCACTCTGTCTCTGGTGAATCCTCTCACACTCTGCACCTCTGTTCTACACCCTAGCTCTTCTATGCATAAATACATTAAAAAAATCTTTAAAAAAAGAAATTACTTTGGAATCCTTTTTTAATTGCAAATATTATAACAACAATTTTCAAGCATAAGATTATGAGAATAGTTTAGCAAGCCACTATATATAATCAGTTTTAAAAATTTCCTACTCATAATCCATCTTATTTCAGTTATATCCCTAGCCATTTCAGCTTCTACCAGGTTATTTTGATATAACTCTCAGATAAGATTTCACATATAAACATACAGGTTGAAGTTACAGCACTTCAAATATATGTTAAAGGTACCTCAATAACTAACACATATATCCTTTCAAGCAGCTCTTCTCCACTTGTAAGAAAAGAGCCTGATGTGCCTGTGTTCTTTCCGAATTCCCTGCTGGCAGAGAATGTAAGCATGTGTTTGCAGACTGGACCAACAGAGGGCACCAGTAACAACTCTGTAACATCAGGGGAACCAAAAATTGAGCAAGTTACGCAATCTTTGCCTCATCAACCATCAGATAATCAGAAAATATATCAGGATTTATTGGTAAGAAAATGTGAAGCATTTCAGCTTTTGTGAGATGGTTATTTAGTCCAGGGCACATCATTAAAATCTTTCTTAGCCTTAAATGATCAGCACCTTGATATTAAAAAGATTTTTTTTGAGATTTGAAGATATATCATTTGTTTCTTTTAGTTTTTCATAAAACATGATAACCTAATTCATCAGTTTACTGTAAACACACCAGTCATCAGGTACTTAGATAACAGAAAAAAAGCCTTATTTTAAAATATGTGTTGCTACTGCACCAAATTAAAGCTAAAAGTTAGTATCAGAAAAAAGTAAGCGAGATTTTACAGAAAATTTGAAAATTCAAAAGTAGTAGAACAGTTATGATAATATTTACTGATTTCAGTTCAAGTAAACAGATTTTTATTGAATATACTTAGCTTAGTCTAATAAAGAAAACTAAATAAGGAGAAAATGTAAAGATGCATATGGCAATCTCTGCCCTTGAGAACCTAGAAGTAGTATGTGGATACTAGGTGACAGTTATAGGACAGTCTGGAAAGTACTTTTGGAAGCAAAGGCAGTACAGAGAAAAGGATAATTCTGGTTGGAGGAAAACAGTCATCTTGGAAAGGTTAGAATTTGAACTTAAAGGTTTAAATGACACTGATTCATTTCCATCCAAATGGAGACTGGAACATTTGATTCCTACATTTATAAGTGAAGGCTAATTAACATAATTCATAGATCCCCAAGTATTCATCAATGAACATATATTTGTTATTTGCCCACTAAGTCCTAGGCCTGGTTCTGGCTAGTAGTTGTGGGCTTAGGAAATGCAATATGCTTTAATGTCAGGAAGGCAGAATTAGGATCACAGGGCATTCTCATTCTGACTGAATAAACAAAGGAGTCAAATTCAAATGAAGATCTGTTTTGTGACTGAAACAACCATTTTTCAAATTTTTTAAATAATTGTTGTAAGAGTACTTGAGATATTCAAGTAAGAATACTTGAAATATTCAAATGATTTAAAATCTATTGGTTTTAAAATGAAAAAGTTTTGGAACCTCCCTAGTGGTACGGCAATTTGAGTGCCGCGCTGTGAAGCTGTCCTCAGCCTCTGTAGCACAGGTTCGATACCTGGCCGGCTAGGGAGCAACCCACACGGTACGGCAGACCTCTCCTGCCTCGCCCGCTGCTCTCCTCAGCAGTGTCTTCAGTCCATCTGCCTGTTCTGCTCCCTGCTCTGTCTCTGGTGAATTTTCTCACCCTACCATGCCACTGGCCTGTACCCCAGTTCTTGTATAAATAAATAAATCTCAGGAAAAAAAAAAGATTTAAAAAATAAGGAAATAAAATGAAAAAGTTCTGAACAAAACATTTTAGGATCTTTAGAGTCTGGTGAAATAATTCATTAGGAAGGGGTTCTTTTATAAAAATGTCATAATACTGGCAAATGTACTTGATACTTTGTAGAATTTCACAGGATGTTATTTTTCATTTCCCTTGCTTTACCATTGCTATTATTTATACTTTTGTTTCCTAAGAATGTTACGCGTGATTTTTTAAAATCTGTCCTTTTTCTTTTCATTAGGGTCAAGTGAACCACCTATTAAATAATTCCCCAAAGAAACTGAGCAACCATCTACTAAAGCAGTAATTATCAGCCATGAATGTACCAGAACCCAAAATGTCTACCATGCAAAGAAGAAAAAGCATGATTCAGGCTTGGTGGACAAAGATTGTGTTCTTAATGCAACCCTTAAGCAACTAAGAAGCCTTGGAGTAAAAATTGATTCTCCCACTAAAGTGAAGAAAAATGCACATAAAGTAGATCATGCCAGGTAACTTCAAAATTTATTTTAATAGATTAATAAATTTTAGATGTATTGCAGTGGTCTCACAAGAAAAGGTATAAGCTTGCCAATCAATTCAATTTAATTCATTATGTGTTCAGGGCCTCATATATGTGTGATGAATAAGAGATCATCTCTACCCTTTGGTTATTCAGTTTGGTAGGAGAGAGGGTTACATACTTGGGTAATTTGAGAGCTATTGTGGGATGTCTCCTGAAGATGTCAACAGAATGTTGTGGGAGTTGAGGAAAATGAGCTTTTACTCATTTGTGCTGTCTGGGTAGGCTTCTGGAGTGACAGTTTTCTGTGCCAGGTACTGCACATACTGTTATGCAGTTATGCCATCTGTAATGCAAAAACATTACTTAGTGTAGGAATTGAAGAGTCTAGTTACCCAAACCTTCCTTATTGCTCACCAGTTCCTTTTGGCCATACCGTTCAGTTTCTTCTTCATTCCAGGTGGCCTTGGTGCATATTTGCTTTTAAAAAGAGGGCCAAATCTGGAAATGTATCACTAAGTTTCGCATGTTGTCTGTTATTTTTGCTGTTGTTTTCTAATTACAAAAGTAATACAGCCTCATGATTTAAAAAATACCAATACCGAGGCCACCTTGGTGGTGCAAGTGGTTAAGCGTCAGCACTATGAAGCTATACACAACTTCTGCAGCATGAATTTGATCCCCAGCCAGGAAGGTGACCCACATGGTGCAGCAGACCTCTCCTGTCTCGCCTGCTGCTCCCCTCAGCAGTGTGTTTCAGTCAGTCAATCTGTTCCCCACTCTGCCTCTGGTGAATCCTCTCACTCTCCCGCACCTCTGGTCTGTACCCGAGTTCTTGTATGCATGCATAAACAAATAAACAAATAAATAAATAAATAAAATACCAATACTGAGAATATCAGATGAAATACAAAAGTCCCCAACTCCCAAACTGACTCCTCCATGATTATTTCTCTTAACTGTTTTTTATTCTTCTAGAAACTTTGTTCTTCATGCTCAAGTATATTATGTATGTGATGAGTATTGTAGTTTGGCTTTTTTGCCTAACATTATATCTTAAATCCTTGTAGACATATGCAGTTGTTTCTTCTGCATCTTAACAACCGCACATAATTCTCTTGTGTTCCCATTACTGGAATATAGTGAATCCCAGTCCTTTATTAATGGACTTTTAGGCTGAATCTGTCATTTCTTATCTTAAACAATGCTGAATGAACATCATTCTATAGGTATATGTACACATATCTTCATAGGATAGATTCTTACACAAAGGCAGGATCAAAAAATTTGTGCATGTAAAGTTTTGGTAAAGGTTAATTACCATTGTCCACCAAAATCAATGTATCAGTTTATATTCCTACCAACAGTGAAGGAAAGTGAGGCTAGTATTTTCAAAGGTCTGGTTTCCATACTGTGAGATAGAGGCCATATAATGTCTGTTGGAATGGTTAAATTTTGGCATTACTGCCTTTGGGCTTTAGTTTTATGTGATGTTTTTCTTCATTAGGCAGCCACTCTATTTTAATGTCTTTGGTATGAAATATTGCCATTAATATTTTCAGTAATGAACTTGATTCATGTTTTAAATGCCTGGAATGAAATGGAAATAAAGCCTTTTTCAGTAAATCAGTGTGGCATAATCAAATTGTTTTAATCAAGATTATCCTGCTCATACCTTAACAATTTATATTATTTATAGTATAAAAATAATATATGCTCGGGCCTCCCTGGTGGCGCAGGCGGTTGAGCGCAGTGCTATGAAGCTGTCCGCAGCCTCTGCAGTGCCAGTTCAATCCCCGCCGGCCTCGGAGCAACCCACATAGCGAGCAGACCTCTCCTGTCTTGCCTGCTGCCCGCCTCAGCAGTGTATTTCGGTCGGCTGCCTGTTCTGTTCCCTGCTCTGTCTCTGGTGAATCCTCTCACTCTCCCATGCATCTAGCCTGTACCCCAGCTCTTATATAAATAAAATAAATTTAAAAAAAGTGTGGAGCTCTTTAAAAAAAAAAAAATAATAATAATAATAATAATATATGCTCAGGGTTGGAATTTTAGAAAATGAAAAAGATGCTATCTGGAGTAATAACACCAAAAGAAATAAGCTTTTTAGGAAACACAGTTTTACTGTCTGTATAATTTTGGCTTTTTAAAAACATGTTAGCATTTATGAAATAGGAATTTTCATTTAATATTGTGGACTATGAAGTATTTTCCTAAAATAATAGCCTGGCAGAAATTTGCAATACCATAGCTATATTTCCATATAAAGAAAACGTTAAGTTTATAATCTGGTATAAATTATATAAAATATTATATAGAGCTCTAGAACTAGAATTTGATATTTGTTTTGTTCTGATTATCAAAGTAATGTAATATAAGCTTATTTTCAAAACTTTGGAAATTTAGAAAAGTTGACCAAAAACATGTTTGTGCCAGCCAAACCTAGTTATTACTAAATTTTCTTTTCTTTTTTTTTTTTTTTTTTACGATATAATTAAAAAGTTTGCTTTAAATATTTTTAGAGAGGGACACCACACTTCTACTCAATTAGGTGAAACATTTTGTAGTCCAGAGCTCTTTTATCTTTTTGCACACCTATCATGCCATGAATTCATAGGAATAGGTTCTAGCAGCTCAGGCTCTTCCATTGGTTCTCACAAAGTGTGCTTCTCTAGGTGGAGCAGGCTGGCGCTTCAGCTGAACCCAAGTACCCTTCTCTTTGGCTTCCTTTTTCTTCTGATCATTTTCTTTCACACGTTTCAGGAAGCTATCTCGGCTCTTAGAGTGCTTAATGTGCTCAATACGACATTAATTTCTTTGCAAGAATCTTGCCCTTTACTTGCTTGTTTACAACAATGCCAACTGCATGCTGGGTAACATTATAGACTCTTCCGGTTTTGCCATGGTAACATTTGTGGGGCATTCCTTTTTGAACAGTGCCCATCCCCTTGATGTCAACAATATCACCTTTCTTATAGATTCGCATGTGTGTGGCCAAAGGAACAACTCCATGTTTTCTAAAAGGCCTAGAGAACATATAGCGGGTCCCTCTTCTCTTCCCTTTGTGTTAGTCATTTTGGCGACTTACTGGAAGATGGCGGTTCCGGCCGAAAGGCTCTTTTCTTTTTTTTTTAAAGATTTATTTATTTATACAAGAATTGGGGTACAGGCCAGAAGTGTGGGAGGGTGAGAGGTTCATCGAGAGACGGAGCTGGGAGCAGAATAGGCAGATGACTGAAAACACTGCTGAGGGGAGCAGCAGGCAAGGCAGGAGAGGTCTGCGGCGCCATTTGGCATCTCCCTAGTGGGCTGGGAACCCGCTGCAGTGACTGCGGACAGCTTCACAGTGATGGCGCTCAACCCGCTATGCCACTGGGGAGGCCCTAAATTTTGCTTTTGCTTTTGCTTTTCCTTCTGTTTTTCTGAAGTATTAATAGGAACCATTTATTGAATGTTCAGAATGTGTCAGGAATTGTATTAGAGTTTTAAGCAGCATTATTTTATTTAATCCTTTTAACAATCTATGGCATGTAGAAACTGTTTTTATTCCTGTTTTATAGATGAAGAAATTAAGTATCAATGTGTTCAAGGCCCCTCACCAATGATTTTTTAAACCTGCTGTTCTACTCCAGGGTCCATAACTTTGAGTTTTTTGTTGTTTGTGTGTTTTTTGACTGTTTTGTTCTTCTGTTTTCTGTTTGTTTAAATTTTTTTGGTGAAGTCTGATTATGGTTTATATTTTGCTGCTTTCTGTTTTATGCTCAGCCTACCTCTGTTTTTGTTTTGTTTTGTTTTTTGTTTTCAGGTTTTATATTGGGAAATAAGCCAGGTTGTAATAACCCTTTCTAAGAATCATCTTTAATGGGAATATAATAACTTACCAAGCAGGACAGAATGAAAAGAACTTGTCTAGCTGGTTGCAATTTCTTACTATTTCAAATATTGCTATGATGAACTTCTTTTTGCCAATATTGTAATTTTTAGTTTTAGGATTATTTCCTTAGAATAGACTCTCAGAAATAGTCAGACTAAGTCAAAGTGGGAGGGAAATTGTAAAGCTGTTGCTACATTGCTTTCTGAAAGTAAGACTTTTTACTTCTACCAGATACATGTTTCACTATTTCACCAGTACTTTCATTTTATGTAAATAAGTATGTATTGAGCTTCTACTCTGAGCCAGCTATGAGCACTATCTTGGTATGCAATATAACCTGTTAAAGACAGCTTGCTCTCACAGAGCTTATAGTTCAGTGAAGATATAAAGATTATTTATCTTTGTCAATTACAATATATTCTGATATCCTCTAAGACATGTACTGTGATATGAATTAACATTACCTCAATAAATATAATATAAATAAATATAAATATAACCTAACAACAAAAGCCTGGCAGTCAAGTAAACACAGCAATTAATTAAATGATGCAGTGGCAACCCTCAAAAATTTTTTTTACCTTTTTAATGGGAAATTTCCTATATTTCTTAGATTTACTAAGTATAAGAAATACATTTCAATATCCCTTGCACAAATTGTGGTATTTAAAAAAGAAAAGGAAGGATGTAATATGCTATGTAAGCCCATAGGTGAGGTATCTGACATTAGCAGTATTTTTAGTCTGTATTATAATTATCCTTTATTAAAATTACCCTTTTTAATGATCTGTGCTAATTTAGATCAAAGACATCTTAAATTGTTTATCATTTCTATTTTATTAATTGGCTCTGTGTTACTGTGATCAAAAATAAAACTGCACTAAAAATTGTTGCATCTCTAACACATGAAAGTCAAATTTTGTCAGTAGTCTTAAATCTTAAGTTTGGAGTATCCTTTCCGCCTGTCTGATTAATTTACATCGTTGCATGGTGTGTCATAAACTCAGTCTTCTACCACTCTCACCAAGTTCCGGCTTAGCCACTGTTGGCATTTGCAAGGTTTCTTCCTGTTACTTTTATCTGGGATATTCTTTTTCACCCAATATCTTGCCAGAATCCTTCTTAACCTTCAAAACTAAACTTAGATGTCACCTTCCTTGTCACTATCATCTGTACCCCTCATCAGAATATTGATACTTTGTACTCAGGATACTTTATTCCTAATAGATTATAGCATGTTCTTGTGGTAACCTTTCCAGGAAGATTTATGTGTCTCTGAATTCTCATTGCCTTTACTGTGCTTCATAGACTTCAGTGAATCATTTCCTGAATGAAGCAAATCCCACCTACTCAGGTGATCACTGATTCTTAAAATAAATGCTTTATTTTTAGTACCTCAGTAGTACTTATTGGCAGTATTTACTATTATATTCTAACACACATGGCTATAATATAACTGGAATGCTAAAAGTTTATAAGGCAGTTCAGAATTTTAGACATGTTTTTCTACAGATACAGTGTTACAGATTGTAGTTTAGTTTTCTGAGGATCTTTATAATCCCTGTGATCCCTCCTATTCCTCTAGTTCTTATAAAACAGCTATCCTTTGCCATTGTGTCCAGGTGAAAGAACTGTAATAGATTTTTAACGAAGTTGAACAGCTAGTAAGAGCAAGTTGAGATCGGGTCTGACTTACTCTCTGGGGCTCTTTCATTATATTGTATAAAGCATTTTGTTGTAAAGGGGTTTTTCTGTTCACTAAAAATGAGTGCCTTGTGTTTGATCTTAAAACCATCACTAATGTATAAATTTAGGAAAACTAATTTGTGTTTCTGTTTCGGTCTGTGAATCGTGTATTACCTTCTTGAATATATCTAGATCATCAAACTCAGATGAAAAGCACCCTGAAGGCCAAAGCTGAAGGCTTTTTGTTCCTTGCACGAAATGGAACACATTGAGAATAACACTGTTTAGTTTCAAAACAAGACAAATGACAGCCTACCCCTTTGTGTCTTTCAGTGTATTGGCCTGCATCAGCCCTGAAGCAGTGATCTCTGGATTAAACTACATGTCATTTGCTAATGTTGGCGTGAGTGGCTTAAGCCCCAATGGTGTGGATTTGAGCATGGAAGCAAATGCTATAGCTCTGAAATATTTAAATGAAAATCAGCTGTCACAGCTGTCTCTGTCTCGATCAAACCAAAATAACTGTGACTCATCTTTTAGCCTTTTTCATATTAATACAGACAGAAGCACAGTGGGGCTTAGTTTAATTTCACCAAACAACATGTCATTCGCAACCAAAAAATACATGAAGAGATATGGACTCATACAAAGCAGTGACAATAGTGAAGATGAAGAGGAGCCCCCAGACAGTACAGAGATCAAGAGTGAACATTTATTGAATCAAAACCCTACATCCATACCTGAACAACTTGGTTGTCAGAAAGAGCCTTCTCGAAATGCCTGTGAAATAATTAATTGTTATAACTGTGACTCTGTGGGCACTTACACAGACATGCCAGTATTGAAAAATATTACAAATGAAGTTGTTCAGCCAAAAGCAACACGGCAGTTGGATGAAAACCCAGCCTTCTTATTAAAGAACCTAAAACCAAGTCCTGCAATGAATCTCCGACCTGGAAAAGCAGAGTTTACCCCGCATCCTGAGAAAGAAAATGAGAGGGACATTCCTGTTTTCCCTGAAAGTTTGAAACCCTCTGAAAGTTTAAAGCAAATGAATAGTATGAATTCAGTAGGCACTTTTCTAGATGTAAAGCGTCTCAGACAGTTGCCAAAATTGTTTTAAATATTTAGCTCCCTACTCTCCTGATAGGAGGATGGACTGTCCCTTGAAGATATTTAAAGAAACCAGTGTCTTTGGGTAGTTTGGGGATTCCTAGTCATTCTAGGAGTTACCTGTTTCTTGGCAACAGCTGATTACAAAGAGCTTAACAAGTGACCTGATGAGATATTTACTAGTAGGGTGCTAAGTCCTCTTTGTTCAGGTAGAGTTATTCAGCGTCACTGAAACCTTTTTTAAAAAAACAATTCCTGAGATCAGTTATTTCAACAAATTTAGGCGAATTTTGATTCTGGACTCCTGTTTTATACTCTGCCATTTGAAAAGTAAGTCTTTTCCTAGTGTGTTGCATCTGTGCATCTGTTTACCCAGAATCACCTAAAAGAACGGGTAATAACATTATCATGACCCTGACTAAATTAGCTGAGTCGACCCTTATTGAATTTAAGGGGAAACTTTTATTTTAAAAAATAATAACATCTTTTATACAAATAGTGTATATGTCCTTAATTAAGATGCATCTTTTGCAATCTGGTGGGTTGTTGTTAATGTAATCTTTTCAACATACAGCACTAGCTATCACAGAATAAGAAAATTATTAGGTATGAGTGTGTATTATAAACTTTGTTTTCAAATGTTTTAATTTTTTAATAGAACTTAAATAAAATTGTCTACACCGACTGTTTTCTTTTGTCCTCAGCAATAGTTTATTATTCCCCACTTTAAAAAGCAAAACTTTTAGGTTCCTAAATAGTTACAAGTTTAGAGTTGAGGTATACCATTTACCCAGGGACCCCAGTGTCTTATATAACCATAGGAAATGATCACAGCCAAGAAATTGACATTGGCTACAATATTAGTAACGATACCACAGACATTCCAGTTTTCACCAGTTTCTACACACACTCATTTATTTACTTTTTGGTGTACAGCACTATGACAGTTTTGTCACATGTAGGTTAGTATAATCATCACCACAGTCAGCATACAGAAAGAAATCATCACCACAGTCAGGATACACAGTCATCACCACAAAGAAACTAGAGCTCCCCTTTTCAAACACCCTCCCTCAAATCTCAACCCCTGACAATCAATGGTCTCTTCACTGGAATTTTTTCATTTTGAGAATGTTAATGTGAATGGAAACACAGAAAGTAACTTCTTGAAATTGATTTTCATTCAGCATAATGTCCTTGAGTTCCATCTAAGTTATCAAGTGTGACAATAGTTGCTTCCTTTATCCCCCCACCTTGATAGGGGTTAAGTTTTAAATGGTTATTTATGATGATTAATGAAAAAAGTCTTCATTCCCTTGAGAGATGAAGTTGTGCTGCTGAAGTTAAGATGTCCTTGCCTTATTTCAAAGTTGGATATGTAAAATGGAAAGAAAGAGACTTGGGCCTCTTACTACTTTCAACCCAGCAGGGGTCTTCTGAGGTCAACTGACAAAACAACAGTTAGCAAGCCCAGGTAAAGCAATGTTGGGACTGCTGTTCCCAGAGACCCATGGCATTGCTCTTCATGTCTAAGTTAAGATATAAGTGACAGTGATGCTTCCAGAGGCCTCATTTGGGACTTGAGTTATTTTAATAAGTAAGATAAAAGACCACTTGCAGGTTTCATTGCAGTAAATTTTTAAGTAACAGAATTATCGATACCACTTCAAGTGTGCTCTTTTAACTTTAGCCCTCAATGCTTCACCCAGGAATTGAATGTAGGTACAATTTATATTGCACATTATTGAAAAAACAGAGAATGTTGGTGTATTAACTGACAGCCTCATTAATTAGACTTATCACTGAGAACCCTGTAATTTTCACACCAAACAAGAACCTCTCTAGCTGAACAATAACTGAACCTGAGGTTTTTTAAGCAAAATCTAATTCCATCACTTGTGTTATCTGAGACTGAATTTAAACTGCAGGTTAATTCCACAGAACATGTCTTTACTAAATACAGCTCCAAAGAAAAAGGACTCACTGAAGCCCACTCTAAAAAATTTCTCTAAGAAGAATGTTTTACTGTGGGAAGTTATTTGTCGAGTTTGTTACTGTAATAGGTTTTAGTCATCTTGGGGAAATCACTACTGGGAAAATTGGATGAAAAGGCTTTAGAAATGATTGCATCTTGAGTGACATTTTCTCAGAATTTTTTTCTTTTATTCTGTCCCACAGCATACTGTTTATGGACATGTGGGTGATACTTAAAGTGGAATAAGAAAATGATAGTGCTTCTGTTACCCACCTTCTGAGAAACAGATCCTTCAGTCCTGGTCCCGGCCAATTGGCCCCACTCCCCACCTTCTTCAAATGTCTCTTCACTCAACCACTGTGCCCTTCACTGGCTACGTTGTGCTCACTTGTCCTTTGCCTACATTGTGCTCTGCCTGTGCTAAGCCCCATAATCTGTGCCCTTTGCCAGCTGTAAAGACAGGAGAAACGAATACCTGGAAGCAGGTCACACAACAATAGGAAACAGTGTATGATGAAAAGCCACAATGAGACATTCAGATTTCCAGGAGCCACAGCGTGTGATCATGATAGCTCACATCTTTTTAGGCTTATCACGTGTTTATAGGATGCTGTGCAGAGCCCTTCCCAAGCATTCATCCATCTAAGCCTCCTGCTGACCCAGCTGGTGTGTCACCCTCCTAGTTGAGAGAACAGCCTTAGGGAAGTAACCAAATAAGTTGCTAACAGAGATTCGAGTTTTAACTCCAGGGCTCAAGCTCTTATTAAGCCACTGCAAAATAAACTTTCTCAGTTCTATTCAGGAAGCACTTTCCATAAGAAACAGACCTCAAGCTCAAAGATGATTCTGAATACTATAGTCAATGCTGTTCTCCTAGTTGCCCTGCCTTTTTTCTTCCATGAAAGGGTCCCTTCACCCTTCAGCCAAGACCAGAAACTTCTATTTTTACTCGAGTCCTGAAATTAGCAACCCCAGCTATGTTAATGTTCAAAGATTTATAAACTTTAGTGATTTTACAATGCGGTGGTGAGCTACTGTATTGGGCTCAGGAAATTAAAGGAACAAAAGGTTTTTCTGTGCTCTTGTTTTCTAGACATTACTCATGGGGGCAGAACCTTTCTGAGCCTCCTAGATTAAATGAGAGGATTTTATGTCTGCAAAATAAATGTAATGATAATGTCTTAAAGTTGCAGACTGCTTCATACTTTTCAAGTGCTTCCGCAAATATTTCCTCAGAATTCTCACAACCAAAACCTGACTGAAGTGTGTATGGTAGGCATAGTTAATCCTCTCCCTACCCCACCCCCAAGCTAAGAGACAGACACTGTTGGGTATAACGGGGTCAGGGACATCAGCCTAGGTCCTTCCATAGCATCTAGCCCAGCAAGAGCCACTACCTTTTGCTCTTCCTCTCATCAGCACCATTTATTCCCCTCATCATTCAACAGGTAGAGGATACTGATTCAGAATGGGCACAAGCTCAGCTCTCAGCATCGGGTGATGAACAAGACAAACTTGCTTCGAAATAAGTCAGTCCAATGAGGGAGAGACATGCAAACAGTGAGGTCAGTGCTGATAATAAAATAGAATGTGTGAGATTATATCGGAGAAGCTTGGGGTGGGTTATTTTGAGACTGTTCCACAAGGATGGTGACGTTTTCCCAGAATCTTGCAGGAGCAATATAGGGAAGAGAAGGAGAACGGGCGATCTTTCTGATGGAAGGAATAGCTTGTTGGAAAGCACAGAGTGAATAGGTCTACAGCATTGGAGGGTCTTGAGGGCAGGATACGAGGATTGGAAAGGAGAAAACATACAAGTGGAACACTGAATGAGCTATCAGTCACAATGGGTTCCCCTCGTCATTGCTTTGGCTCAAATCTGTGACATTGAGCAAGTCACCTCCTATCAGTAGACCTCAGTTTCTCTGTTCTGGAGGTGACAGTGCTAGCCATGCATCTCTGACATACTGTGATTATGTGCCATGTGATCCAGCGCAGTGTGAGCCGTGGTTTACAAGCCCAGAGGGAAAGGCTTCTGCAAGTGGAGTCAGACCTTGGAGGATTTGAATGATTTCCACAGGCAGAGATGAGGAAAAGGAGATTGCCCTACTTTGCATAAAAATTTTAAAAATACAAAGAGGATTCAGTCTTCCCCACCAAAATGTTGAGTGACATCTGTCCCAAGTGGTACCAAGCATTCTTCAGCTTTGAATGACACATTCCCTGTTTTTAGGCAGTTCAAAGTCCAGTGTGGCAGAAAAACATCAAACCCACAAAAAGGGGCTTTCGGGTTTGGAAGCCTGGGTGAGGCTCTCTGTCTCCTCTACGCTCCCCAAACCGGAACTGTCTGGGTCACAGAGAACATCCTCAGAGGAAATCCTGCTTTCCCACTTCCTGGCCAGGGGCTGAACTCCAGGAAAAGGATGGATTTGGGGAGAGCCCTATGTCCTGCCTCTTCGTAGGAGGTTTGAGACCAGGTGGGCAAGAGGGATTAGTTACAAACACAGTGGAAAAGATGACACCAGGTGTCTGATGTTTCTGAGCTGCAGGGCCCTCATTGTACAAATGAGGACACTGAGGCCCAAAGAAGAAAATGGACTTGCTGGATCCAGTTCCCACAGCTTAGTGAGCACAGAGCAGGGCCCAGCACTCGGGGCTCAAGCCTTCCAAACCATTGTATGCCTTGATAATGGGGTCAGTAAGTTAGGTGTCAAGCAGTCAAACCTAGACCCTCCCTTTCTCCCCTTGTGCTAGAAAGGGAAGGAAAGGTAGTGTACAAGCGTGTGCACCCCAGCCTTCTTCTTTGCTCATGTTCCTTTGCCTCTAAGCCCTCCGTAGTTTCAGAAGCCCTGTGTGCCCTTCAAACCCTAGAGTACAGGCTGTCCCCACCCATGTCCTCTCCCCATCTGGAATCCTCTTGAGGGTGATATTTTCCTTCTCTGACTTTCCATAACCTTCTCTCTGGTCCTCTCTCCTCTGACAGATTTATTACAAGCTGCTTGCATTGGTTATGTGTACCCATGGCTGGGAGCTCCTGGAAAGTGGAACCACGTAAGACTCGTTGTCTAGTGAAAACAAGTCCTGCATGTTCCCAAAATGCATTTGTGCATACATCTCAGTCATCTCTCACGTGGGAGAATCATCCATCTAACCTGCACCAAATTCCTACCCTCCCACTCTCATTTGGACCACACATCTGCACTGTGACCCTCCACACCCTGCTGCCTGCACTCCCCTCCCCCCACCTAGCCAGCAGCACACTACCTCCCTCCCCCCTTCAAAGCCTGCATTTCCTGGGCCACCCCAGGAAGGGGCTGTGGCTCAGCCCTTGTAATCATGGAGCCATTTATCTCTACTACAAGGGCTTACAGGATACACTTGCACATTCTCTATGGCTGGTTTCTAGCCCCAGGAGGACTGGCCAGTTCCTGCTGGGTGGTGTCCCTCCCCTCAGTTTCTCTCTCCTGCTCTGTCTCTGTCTTGTCTCTTCAACATACATTTGTGGTGCTCCTTTCTGTCTGTGATATGCTGGCACATAGACAGACCAGATAGTCCCTGTCTTTGTGGGGCTAAGTGGGGCATACAGGCACCCAGATAAGTGTGGTTGGAGTCATGTTGAAGGGATGTTTAAGCGGCACAGGAGAAGGGTCCAGAGGCTGGACTGTCTGCTGGATTGTCTGCTGGACTGCTGGACTGCTCTTCTGGAATTCCAGGGTACCCAAATCCAGTCTCCTCAAGGTCTTCACCCTGCCCCTTTCCCTTGCCCTGCTGCCCAGTGCATCAGGGCCCCAGCAAGCAG